CGCGGGGTGTGTGTGTGCATGTGTGTGTGTGTGTGTGTGTGTGTGTGTGTGTGTGTGTGTGTCTTGCCCCATGTGGCTCTCATCCAGACCTTCCTGTAGCCACAGGGCTAGGTCTCACTGGGCCCCCCCTTCTACCCACAGTGTCACCTTTCCCAGGCTGTGAATCCCTCCAGCTTTCAGGAGCAGAAAAGAGCCCCCAGCCCCTAACAGGAAGAAGAGTTCCTGGGAAAGAGATTGCGGCAAAATGAGAGCCCTTGCTAAACAGCAAAGGAGCACTGTTCATGGTCAGGGTATGGGTACCAGTGGGGAACAGGACTAGCCTTCCCAGACTCCCTTCCTGCTCTCTAGCTCTAACACCCAGAGGCTGAGGGGGCTGACTTTGGCTTCCTCCCTCCTGGGGCACCTCATGTAGCCTGTGCCCCACTCCCATCCTGCTGGGTTCACCCTCTGTGATCTGTCACTGAGATAGAGACCCCTTGTCCAAGCAGTGGGGGTCTGTCCCTTTCTTTGGGGCAGGGCCTGGGGCTGGGCCTGCCGGGCTGCCCGGTCAGTGGCAGTGAGGTGGCTGAGATCAATAAGTTATTAGCACCATTCTGTCAGCCGTAATGTGGAGATTGATCGGCCTCTCACCGCTGCCGCACTTCCCCGGCCTGATAAAAATGACAGATTAAGGGAATAAGAAAAGGAATTAGGCTCTAGAGCTGATGGTAGGGCCTCCAGGGTGGGGGGCAGTTTGGGAGCCCCACTTGCCGAGGTGTCATGGACGGCTTGGGTCATGGGGTGGCCTTGTGGAGATGAGAAAGGGTCAGAAGCAGCGGCTGTGGCCTGGAGCCCAGCACTATGATGGGCCCAGGAGACCCGGATGACTGCTGAGCCGTTCAATAGAGACCCCCAGGTCTTAGGGTCAGGATGCTTAGGAGGAAGCCAGGCATCAGGGGCTGGGAGCGGCACTGGAGATGGGTAGACAATGAGAGTGGTTTGAGATGTGGAGGTGTGATCTGTGAGCCCCTAGAGAGGGAGCTGGGCCTGGCCTGGGTCACCCCTCTTCTTCAAGCCAGGCTGTGTCTGGCCTCATGGCCAGGCAGCTTGGGGCTGTGCAGAGGAGTCCTCAGGGCTGCCTGGGTCGGCAGGTGTGTGACAGCCAAGATCAGGTGCTGGCAGAGGCAGACTGGGACAGAGAGCAGGGACTTGGCCTTCTGGGAGCAGAGATGAGGTGGCTTGGTAGAGGGCCAGGAATGGAGGGGTCCTCAGAGTGGTCTCAGGGACCCCATGCTGGACAAGGCCCTGACCCATCAGGACCTAGGGCACCCTGAGTAATGAGTAATACTGGGTGTGGGTCTGGGCCGAGCTAGGGCAGAGGCTGCATCCCTCCTGTCCCCCAAACCCAGAAACAAATGGGCCTCCCTCTACCCTTCTACAGGTGACCTGTTGGGCAAGAGGGTGGGCCGCTCCCCCCACATCAGCAGTGACTGTTCTTCAGAGAAGAAGGCCCGAAGCGAGTCCCCACAAGGTGGGAGCGGCTCCCTGGCATGGTGGGGCCAGGTCGCTGGAGGAAGGAAGGGGATAACTGAGTCCTTGAGCCCTGGAGGGTTTCTCAGACATCAGATAGAGGCTCTAAGCAGGGAGGAAGTATCTGAAGGAGCCCCCTCACAATGTGCTCCCCCCAACACAGAGACGCTGTTGCTGCCAGAACTGGGGGCCAGCATGGCCCCTGAGGACCACTACCGCCGGCTGGTGTCGGCACTGAGTGAGGCCGGCACCTTTGAGGACCCTCAGCGTCTCTACCATCTGGGCCTCCCTAGCCACGGTAGGTGCTTGTGCTTTGGGCATGGCCCCATCACCTCTCCACCGTGTGGGCCGGGCTTCCTGGCCTTCCTGGTGGGCCTGGATGTTTGGCCACTGACACTGAGGCCAGGGTTAGATACTTCTCAGCCAGTCCCCACCCCTCGTAGGTGGGTAATGTGGCATGACTGTCCTCCCTCTGCCTGAGTCCTGCTGCAATTCCCCTACCTGCTCATCCTCTGGGTTCACATGTAACTCACATTTACACAGGAAACTGAGTCTCAGTTGAGTCCCAGTGAGTGGCAGGTAGCCCTCCTTGTGGTAGATGCAAGTTCTCTGGGATGCTGTGGTCTGTGTGTGTCCTTCTCACCGAAAAGTCAGGGCACAAGTGTGTGAGTTAGTGGACGCTGACCTGCAAGATGCCTCCTGGGGATGGGGGCCAAAGAGGAGGGGACTAGTCAGCCCAGGAAAGGCACAACTGAGCAGCAGTTGGCATTTGGCCACGAAGACCTTACCGGCTGCTCAAGAGAAGTCTGGGCGGGAGGCCTTCCCCAACCCTGTGGGCTGGCTCCGTCCCTCTCTGAACACTCTCCATGGTCGCCCTTAGGGCCTCACACTGTCCAGCTGCACTCTGGAGGCGCGGGCCCCAGCCACCAACCTAGGAGAATCTGGCTTTTCTGACTGGAGATGGGTGGGGGGCGCCGGGAAGGGGGCAGGATTTCCTCTCCTTACACAGGCACGGTCCCCCAGGGCAGCTCAGGCACCAAGAGCCTGAATAATTCACCAAATGTTAATAATTTAAAAATCTTCCTTTTTAATTGCTTTCCCTGCCCTGCCTGGGGCCGGCTCTGCCGGCCTGTGCGGGGGAGGGGGCGCCGGCCGCCGGGG